AGAATGGTTTGGTGGATGACGCCGGCTGCTGTCCGCGCACTGAGCGCTTATTCCAAGGGACGTCGGGGAAGATAGGAATGTGGTAGGTGCCAAAAGAAGCGTTGTTTTGGAGAATGGGCACAGACAGCAGAACATCCTCCATGGCGGTGCCTGGCTGCAAGAAACACGAAGAACTCTTGGATTGCCGGCGTTCATAGATGAAGGGTGGCGAGTCATGCTTGTAAGATTGCATAGTTTAATCTCGGGGAGGTTTAGAGTGTCACAGATTGTGCTCCACGTGAAGGAGCCATGCGAGTACCGTTTCTGAAGTTTCCGGTCGGTAGACTCGGCAACATTCGAGTAAATGCCTTCGTCTAGAGCTTGAGAATTGACGAGTGCTGGGCTGATCGGCATTCTGTAACGAGACAACATGCGAGTCAGGAGAGCTGGAACTCGACTGTTTTTGTTCGGCTGGGCCATAGAACTTCCGCAGTAGATTCCGCAGCTGTCTTTCCAGATTGAGCACACCTACTTCTGTGCGGTTGACATTATCCGGCGTATTGACAACTCGTGATGACCGGAGCGACTGCGGTTGCGTCTCGTTGTTACGCGATGAGGAGGACAAGTTAGCAGGGGACGTGGAAAGCAACCTATCATAGGGCAGGTGATGAAGGAGTGGTTACTAGGGATATCGTGTCCAGAATTCGCAACGCCAGAGCGGCAAACGAAGCAGTTGTAGCGCAGTATGGTTTGCGGATACGAGCGGCAGAATATGATGTCAGTTGCATGGAGTGAAGTGTCACAGGAAGCGTGAAAATGGTGTAAACACATTGAGCATGTGATGGCTTTGGAACGAGGCCGCACACGTCGAGCGCAAATCGAGCAATTGTTCAGCGGTTTCATGGGTGTTTTGGGTGAAACCGAACAGGTCGGAATGGTCAAGCGAATGACGAGTGTCACTCAATCGTGGAGCAATTTTTCACGGAGGGACGAATCCTAAAGGAACACACTATTCGCATTCAACCAGCTGAAACCGATCAGTTTGAATTTGGGCGGGGTATCCACTAAGGTGATAATCGCTAATGATTAGCAGAATGGGAAACAAACGGTACAGGAAAAGGTGTAAGCAGAATGTTGTAGTACGTATTGCGAATTAACATAACACCAGTGTAAGTGAGGAAAGAAATGAAGGACAGTTGGATGGTGAACATCAAACCCGGCTTGTATTACAGTTATTAGCGATAACAGCTCCAAGGTGTAACACAAGTGCCGGACGGTCGATACTACATGCAATTTGCTTTAAATTGGTCGCGAGCTCGAAGAAATGAAGCAAATGCATTTGATATGCAAGTTAGATTCTTTACTATTCAGTAAGTAGTAGTTGTCTAGCCCGCCAGATGCGCTCTTCGTTCCATATTATGCGAGTTTCTATACAGATTTTGAACGGAAGCTGTAACATTGAATAAGGAAAAATCAGAGATCACTCCTTTTCCTTATCAACCAATACGATATAAGTTCCTAAGCATAAACCAGATCTTCGGTGACAGTTATAGCACAGGAAGGAGAAAGGAAGGCGGAAAGAGTAGAAGATAGTTTTGTCTGTTCAACGCATTTGCGTGTGAACCTTTTCATGTGCATGCAGTGAACAATTAACAATGAATTTGTACAGGTTATGAATCTATGCCTTGCAATCGTAGTCGGGTGGTTTGGTGTGGTTATCCAAAAGATAATAATAAAAGTTTAAGCGCGCTGTAGCGCTGAAATCCGCGTAGTTCCACAGCACCGACAGGTATCAACAAATGAATCCGGTGTATATTCTGGAAGTGGGATAGGGATCGAGCGCCAAGAAATAAATGTAAGTTGATGAGTACGTCATCCAACTGTCTTTTATATATTGCTATGTCACGGCAGTTGCGTTCTCCAATTTCCGACAGGATACGATTGAAATACAGGAATGTGTTCAAAATGCGTGTCATGCAGCAACAGAGTCGCATTTTGTTCCAAAGCTGTGCAATGCTCTTTAAGTGTAGGATGGCTGCACATTGTTTGTTGTGAAATCAGCGCTGAACTGTACTATGAGCTTCAGCAGTGTACGCCCCTGGTTATCATTTTGCAGTGTGACATGTGCCGAACTCCAAGAAGCGATAACCAACCACCTTCCGATTATCTGACGCTCTCCTCCTGTTTTTTTTCAGCTGAAGCAACGGTCTGGCCAGATGACGAGCTTGCGCATCTCTATCCAAATCTCCTAGATGCGGACATTTCGAGATGGCATAGTCAACTCTTCTTCGACTCCCTTTCGACAGCACCAAAGACGGATGGGGCCGTTTATGGGGCCGTGTACCGTTTGTCCGTAAATATTAAAATTTAATCGATTTGTTTACTTATTTGTATGCAAGTGTAGCGGGAAATGGCGCAACACCAACTTCAAACACTACCAACGCAGCTGTGCGCAAAACGATGGCTGAAAAGAATCAGGGGTCTAGAGCAATACCGAAGCCTATTTCATCCCAGGTAGGAATGGTCTTAGAAAGAGTGACGCAGCTGAAATATCTGATCAAAGCTAACCCAGCAGATAAGAATCATCTATACCTGAGCGAAACAAGTGTTCTTCTCGCGAAGGGTGACTATTCATCATAAATGCTCCTGAATCCAAGAAGGAGACAACTGCTGAAAGAATACAGGACGCTCAGTTATTTCTAAGAAGCACGGTTTCTCTTCTGTTCAGTAGTGGGGGCAAGCGGATTAATCGTGTCTCTGCATTTCGCCTTTGGGGAAAGGGAGAAGAAGCCACCAACGTCCGTCCTTTCACAGTTGTCTGTCAAGATGCAAATGTGTACCGCCGTATTCGCAGACGTATCACACGTCTTAAGGGACAAAGATTGTATGTGCTGAGATATCTCTCCGAAGAAGACCGACCGGAAATTAAGAACTCGGCTAACGAGCTAGGAACCCGTAGAGCAAATGGTGAAATCAATTAGCACATAGCGGGATTTTAAATAGTGCAGAAATCCCAATGGTCATCCTGGAAACCACTTTTCGTCCACCAGACCTTCATTGCGTAGCCGACATGGGAACGAACATACGCAGTGAGCACTTGTCGAAACAGGGAGCTGTCTATTTGTCCGAACAAGCGTCGCAGCAGCCAGACGCATTGGTGAGTGACAGGAGGTTTCTTAAGTATGGCGTGCCTTTATTTGCTGAAGAAGGCTAATTAGCAAATCGTGCATGTTAAATAAATTTGGTGTAGGTGATCAGGCGATAGCGATTTCTCCAAGTGGTCTCTACAGTTTGCCGGTATCAAAGTAAAGAGAGACATAATATTCCGTTAAAAAAACCACTCCTTCATTACCTTTGACTTCGCAAGTACGATGCACTATTTGGATGAAAAAGTAATGAGATCACCTTAGCACAGCACTTCTCTTAACTGTGTTGTTTCCTACCCAGCTTCATTCCAGTTGAAATCGGACAAAATGCCATCGCGCAGATGAAATCACGAAACGGCTGTTTATGCCCTATTGGAAGTTGTTCCTTGCGCTCACTTATATCGAGCCCTGCACAATCCGAACCCACATCCGCTCAATCTCAAGCCAGAAATTATTGTAGTCATTTATAGATTCGTAAAGGAGTGAGATTATTAGAGAATGTAAAGGTAACTTTGGGCAAGTAGTCGCTGAATACTAAGTTATGAGGCAGATCCGATGGACGAGCGAGAAGTAATGCACCACAACCAACAACATAGCCTTAAGGGACACTGTCCTCACTAATGGCTCAGGAAAAAAGCAGTTTGTCTTCACGTTGTGCTCTCATGAGCCTTTGCTACCCACGGTACGAAAGAGATGCGCCGTGCTGTGTTAATTTCAAAGAGAAAAGTCGTGTGCAAATCTTTTCCTTACGGTACTATGTCTGGCCGCTGCGCAAACCAAGTGAATCTACTCAAAATCCCTGACCCGCTCTTCTGAGCAGGTGAGTAACCTATGATGAAGTCAGCTGGAGGTTAACCAATGTAGCAAAATGCGCTTTTGTTGTGCAGCACATGATACAATTATTTATTGTCCCATTGGACTCAATTGGTACATTTTCCTTTCCAGTTTCATCGACGACGTTTGCAGCATACCTTATGCCTATTATCCGAGCAAAGCAGATTTTGCCACTCATTGCGTATGGGCTATGAATTTGGTTCGTGAGAACGCGACTGCTCTCGCTTGGGGTCATCAATGGGGTGAGTCACGCGGTGTGTGTGTGTGTGTGTGTGTGCATATTATCTCTTCTAATGCTACCCGCTTTGACTCACCTATAAAATCCTCTAACATGTCCAACCGCCAGTCAACAAAGCAGACTAAGCAACTGACAGTCACTGAAGTTGTAAGACATCTTAGGATGGTGTTTCAAAAATCGTTTACCTTTCTGTAATAAGAAATGTTACGACTAACCTTATTAGTGATAGGACAAATCTCACACAGATTCCCAACCATCGCAAGCAAATATGTGAGTCTTATTTTACCAGTGTAGGGCGGCAAACAAGGCTATGGATTAGACACTGATGCAGAAGAAATTTGTGAGCTAATACCAAGGAAAGCGACTTTGTTTCAAGTTCTGTCATTGTGAATCCATGATCTGCAACAATTCTGTTTTATTCGCCTATTGTGAATGTATCATACTAACACATAAATGCCCGTAAACGAGCATGCCATTCATCAATCATTCCCCACCTAGCACGATTTTTCCTGGACCAAAACAAAGAAATCCTAGAATTAACTGTCAAGACTACACGTCAACCGTAATAAGTTGGCGTGTATCCAGACAGCAGAAGGAAACGTATAAGAAATCTACTATAACCAACAAATAACCCGGAGCGGGTTGCAGCATAAGAAACGCAGTTGGAGGAGCATACTTGCGCAAACAAAATCAATACGTTTTAAAACCACGTCAGTTATTGATCACTAATTAACTGGTGATATTAACAAACCGGTTCATGTTACGATGGCATTACTCTTTTTCAGTTATTGATTCACATTTGTATTTCATGCTATAGCAAGGAAAGCTTGCGTGTTACGGCTGAATATTCCCCAGTTCTGTGTGCTTTAAGCACTTTCTCGACTTGTCTTGATACTGATCCTGTCCTGAATCAGTCGCAATAGTTGTTTTAAGTCACCCACCATCACTTCCCAAACTATGCTTTCTCGTAACTAAGTGCTAGTACAAAAAGTCCTCCTATGAGCTTACCTAAATTGTCCACCCGGAGGCGCGTGCAGCCCATTGAACGATCCGGTGTCTGCGGAGCGCCGAATATCTCAGAAGCATAGGTCACATGTTTTGGCCTCAGATGCTGCTACTAATGACTGCGGATATTCGCATACTCAGTCTCACATGTTCCTGCATGTGGTTTTTAACTTTCTGTTCAGGCGTCTCACATGTAATCCACAGGTCTTGAGTTCAAGCTCGTGGAGGTGCTGTAGATTTCACAATATCCCTAGCTCGCAGGTGATTGCTGGTTGTTGTGTGGTGTCGAAGAGTCCGCACAAAACACAGGTCTGTTGTTGATGCCATTCACGCTGCTATCGCAGCCGTAATCGACATTCCGGTGATGTTGCTACTTGGTGCTGACGTGTAAACCGATTTCGCAAATTCATCCTCACGGGAGTTGCAGATTTCACCTGCCCCTCCGACCTTGTTCTTTATTAAAAACGACTTTTGTCTATCTTCAATCCATCTACTGGGCTGCTTCGCCCAAAGTTTACGAATTCTGTTTATCTTTGAGTGTACATAATATAGGATTAGAATTTTTAACCATTTTCTAGTCATAATTAAACACATGAGCAATATTGCGGTCACAGATTTCAGCTATATGTTGTCTACCTTAAACCATCCTATGCCAAGTTTTCAGCCTCAAAATCCTTTGGAACCAATTATTGTGCGTTTACTAATCCTATGTCAGATATTCTTGCTTATCGGGACGAGTCGGTACTCTGAAGTATATGCACATACTTTAAGAAAGACATCCCTATGGTGACGGTCTTCCACAGCTGCGTTTTCGCATGATAAGAAGATGGACGCAGTCGGTTGCCACTCCGACCTTATACTTTCTAAATAACGACTTTTACCTCCCTTCTATACATCCACTGGGCTGCTTCACCCAAATGTTACGAATTCTGGTATGCTTTGAGTATACATAATGTAAGATTAGTATTGTTAACCTTTTTCTGGTTATAATAGTACACTTGAGCAATACTGAAGTCACAGACCTCAGCTCCAATGATTATGCGTCTACTAAGACCATGCCGGATGTTCTTGCTTAACTGGACGCGTCGGTACTCCGAAGTATACGCTCGTAGTTTAAGAAAGACATCCCTATGGTGACGGTCTTCCAAAGTTGCGTATTCACATGATAAGAAGATAGACACAGTAGGTTGTTTTTCCAACAAGGGAGGGTAGTAATTAGCATCGAACAGGGGGATTAGAATGGACTATTCCAAACTAATACCCCTGCCTCTTTAAGCAACCATGGTTTCGTTATGTTGTTCATGTCAGCAGAATTTGTTAAATTTTTTTTGAAATTTTGGCGGTCGTTTTCAAAGAAATCAGCTTAAAGCAAAGTATATAGATATCAGTTGTGTGGTTTTAGAGACTACAATGTAATACTTGAAGTGGAACTGTTGCAGCCCAAGGTTTCCTAAGCACTCTCTGGTTGCGCACGGCGATCGAATTTTCAATGATGCAGCCTTCCAACCTGGCTTTGATCACACAATCAACTGCACCTCTGAATCCGCAGCGTACAACATAGTTGTATTGGTCCATCCATAAACTTCACGAATAGTCCAGCAGCATTATTTCAAGATGTCCATCATTTACTGATGGATACTGGAAATATTCCTTTTTGCAAACGTACTTCACGTGGGCCATAAGATTGACATAGGCATAAATAAGCTAGTTACGTTCAACCTGCGATGTCCACGTACTTTGGGGGAATGCCGCATGAGCAATGGGCGTGTTCAGCACTGCGTATTTGGCGCAAGAAGAGGGAGCGAACCGCTCAACATTAGTATACCACGCATAACACTGGACGGTTATGTATGGTGTTACACATGTCAGCACACCGACTTCTGTTACGTACGTGGCTTGGGCTATCCGGAGGAAGGGTAGGAAAGGCGAAAAATTGGTCAAGCGGAATGAAAGCCCTCACTTCGAATTGGGCGGCGGTTATTGTCTTACGACTGTCGGGCTAGAGTCTCAAAGACAATAAACACATTTGGTGGGATGCACTTGTTGACATGGCGGAGAGCCGATTTCAACGCATTTGCGTTGTGAGCTTCTTTGTCCCTGCCCTTCCCGCTTATCTTCCCGTTCCGACAACGAGCACACACTGCATGGATAATGTGACGCTTAGTATCATATTACTTGGCCTGTCGTTTTTGTATTCCGTAATCTCTAGTACCTCGCTCATCATATATCATATTTTGTATTATGACAGAGATCTAGTGTTTCTCATTTCATCTAATGTGTAATAATGATGCTGATGTATTATATCAGGGAGAGGAAAATCTCCATGGAAAACTCAGTAGTTCAGTTGGAAATCAAGCTGAGCCAATGATGTACAATCAACATATCTTTGTTTCGGTAACGTTCGCTTCAGGAACCTTCGCTTTCATACTACGTGCCCATCAATCTTCACAGTACCTAGATGAACTGATGTACCAAGCAGGATAGCTGACTTGTAAATATGCCCATCGATTTCACACTACTGAAATCCTTTTCGGTAGCTGGTTTCGTCATACGCTTTTGTCTCCAAGCCTTAAATGCTGATTTTCGCCCAGGGTCCGGAGCTAGCAGAGAAGGTGGTCAGTTAAACCGGAATGGCGCAGACGGGGGTAGGTCATAACACTGTGAGATCCTAGTTGGATGAAAACCTAAAGTGGAGAGGATGGACAAGGTACTCACAAAACTAGACGCCATTGAGCCATCGGGATGCAGCAACCGATACCAATACAGCACTACAGCACACTGCACCTGAAGAATACAGAAATAAATTGTGCTATCTGGACGCTTCCACAACCACACATTATGTCCGGAACATCATGAACCACCTCGATTGCTTTATTTAAACACGTCACGGAGCAGCTTGTGATCGAAGTACTTTTGATTGTAAATGATCGTGGCCGTCTAATTAGCAGAATTAGCAGTCAAGGCTACACGTCAACCGTAATAAGTTGGCGTGTATCCAGACAGCAGAAGGAAACGTATAAGAAATCTACTATAACCAACAAATAACCCGGAGCGGGTTGCAGCATAAGAAACGCAGTTGTAGGAGCATACTTGCGCAAACAAAATCAATACGTTTTAAAACCACGTCAGTTATTGATCACTAATTAACTGGTGATAATAACAAACCGGTTCATGTAACGATGGCATTACTCTTTTTCAGTTATTGATTCACATTTGTATTTCATGCTATAGCAAGGAAAGCTTGCGTGTTACGGCTGAATATTCCCCAGTTCTGTGTGCTTTAAGCACTTTCTCGACTTGTTTTGATACTGATCCTGTCCTGAATCAGTCGCAATAGTTGTTTTAAGTCACCCACCATCACTTCCCAAACTATGCTTTCTCGTAACTAAGTGCTAGTACAAAAAGTCCTCCTATGAGCTTACCTAAATTGTCCACCCGGAGGCGCCTGCAGCCCATTGAACGATCCGGTGTCTGCGGAGCGCCGAATATCTCAGAAGCATAGGTCACATGTTTTAGCCTCAGATGCTGCTACTAATGACTGCGGATATTCGCATACTCAGTCTCACATGTTCCTGCATGTGGTTTTTAACTTTCTGTTCAGGCGTCTCACATGTTATCCACAGGTCTTGAGTTCAAGCTCGTGGAGGTGCTGTAGATTTCACAATATCCCTAGCTCGCAGGTGATTTCTGGTTGTTGTGTGGTGTCGAAGAGTCCGCACAAAACACAGGTCTGTTGTTGATGCCATTCACGCTGCTATCGCAGCCGTAATCGACATTCCGGTGATGTTGCTACTTGGTGCTGACGTGTAAACCGATTTCGCAAATTCATCCTCACGGGAGTTGAAGATTTCACCTGCCCCTCCGACCTTGTTCTTTATTAAAAACGACTTTTGTCTATCTTCAATCCATCTACTGGGCTGCTTCGCCCAAAGTTTACGAATTCTGTTTATCTTTGAGTGTACATAATATAGGATTAGAATTTTTAACCATTTTCTAGTCATAATTAAGCACATGAGCAATATTGCGGTCACAGATTTCAGCTATATGTTGTCTACCTTAAACCATCCTATGCCAAGTTTTCAGCCTCAAAATCCTTTGGAACCAATTATTGTGCGTTTACTAATCCTATGTCAGATATTCTTGCTTATCGGGACGAGTCGGTACTCTGAAGTATATGCACATACTTTAAGAAAGACATCCCTATGGTGACGGTCTTCCACAGCTGCGTTTTCGCATGATAAGAAGTAGGACGCAGTCGGTTGCCACTCCGACCTTATACTTTCTAAATAACGACTTTTACCTCCCTTCTATACATCCACTGGGCTGCTTCACCCAAATGTTACGAATTCTGGTATGCTTTGAGTATACATAATGTAAGATTAGTATTGTTAACCTTTTTCTGGTTATAATAGTACACTTGAGCAATACTAAAGTCACAGACCTCAGCTCCAATGATTATCCGTCTACTAAGACCATGCCGGATGTTCTTGCTTAACTGGACGCGTCGGTACTCCGAAGTATACGCTCGTAGTTTAAGAAAGACATCCCTGTGGTGACGGTCTTCCAAAGATGCGTATTCACATGATAAGAAGATAGACACAGTAGGTTGTTTTTCCAACAAGGGAGGGTAGTAATTAGCATCGAACAGGGGGATTAGAATGGACTATTCTAAACTAATACCCCTGCCTCTTTAAGCAACCATGGTTTCGTTATGTTGTTCATGTCAGCAGAATTTGTTAAATTTTTTTTGAAATTTTGGCGGTCGTTTTCAAAGAAATCAGCTTAAAGCAAAGTATATAGATATCAGTTGTGTGGTTTTAGAGACTACAATGTAATACTTGAAGTGGAACTGTTGCAGCCCAAGGTTTCCTAAGCACTCTCTGGTTGCGCACGGCGATCGAATTTTCAATGATGCAGCCTTCCAACCTGGCTTTGATCACACAATCAACTGCACCTCTGAATCCGCAGCGTACAACATAGTTGTATTGGTCCATCCATAAACTTCACGAATGGTCCAGCAGCATTATTTAAAGATGTCCATCATTTGCTGATGGATACTGGAAATATTCCTTTTTGCAAACGTACTTCACGTGGGCCATAAGATTGACATAGGCATAAATAAGCTAGTTACGTTCAACCTGCGATGTTCACGTACTTTGGGGGAAATGCCGCATGGGCAATGGGCGTGTTCAGCACTGCGTATTTGGCGCAAGAAGAGGGAGCGAACCGCTCAACATTAGTATACCACGCATAACACTGGACGGTTATGTATGGTGTTACACATGTCAGCACACCGACTTCTGTTACGTACGTGGCTTGGGCTATCCGGAGGAAGGGTAGGAAAGGCGAAAAATTGGTCAAGCGGAATGAAAGCCCTCACTTCGAATTGGGCGGCGGTTATTGTCTTACGACTGTCGGGCTAGTGTCTCAAAGACAATAAACACATTTGGTGGGATGCACTTGTTGACATGGCGGAGAGCCGATTTCAACGCATTTGCGTTGTGAGCTTCTTTGCTTCTGCCCTTCCCGCTTATCTTCCCGTTCCGACAACGAGCACACACTGCATGGATAATGTGACGCTTAGTATCATATTACTTGGCCTGTCCTTTTTGTATTCCGTAATCTCTAGTACCTCGCTCATCATATATCATATTTTGTATTATGACAGTGATCTAGTGTTTCTCATTTCATTTGATGTGTAATAATGATGCTGATGTATTATATCAGGGAGAGGAAAATCTCCATGGAAAACTCAGTAGTTCAGTTGGAAATCAAGCTGAGCCAATGATGTACAATCAACATATCTTTGTTTCGGTAACGTTCGCTTCAGGAACCTTCGCCTCCATACTACGTGCCCATCAATCTTCACAGTACCTAGATGAACTGATGTACCAAGCAGGATAGCTGACTTGTAAATATGCCCATCGATTTCACACTACTGAAATCCTTTTCGGTAGCTGGTTTCGTCATACGCTTTTGTCTCCAAGCCTTAAATGCTGATTTTCGCCCAGGGTCCGGAGCTAGCAGAGAAGGTGGTCAGTTAAACCGGAATGGCGCAGACGGGGGTAGGTCATAACACTGTGAGATCCTAGTTGGATGAAAACCTAAAGTGGAGAGGATGGACAAGGTACTCACAAAACTAGACGCCATTGAGCCATCGGGATGCAGCAACCGATACCACTACAGCACTACAGCACACTGCACCTGAAGAATACAGAAATAAATTGTGCTATCTGGACGCTTCCACAACCACACATTATGTCCGGAACATCATGAACCACCTCGATTGCTTTATTTAAACACGTCACGGAGCAGCTTGTGATCGAAGTACTTTTGATTGTAAATGATCGTGGCCGTCTAAGTGTGTTTCGGGTCAAAGCGAGTATATACATCATGCTTCTCATTATACGTTTTACGACGATTACTTGTATGCATTAGGCCATATTCTGACTGTTTCGGTATAACTCAATTTAACAAATTTGATTATAATTTTCTCCACTTCGTACATTAATTCACAGGTTGCACTGATAAGCGGCTTGAAATTGCAGTCACACCCTACTATAATGTGCTTGTGCAGACCAAAAATTGGTGAATTTCGGGATCGAAAAGCGCCTGAAAACAAACTGCTACGCTCCAATTATTCAGCTGGACAAGGAGGTGGAGATAGTATGGCAAGTCTTAGCTTTAACCTCCCATTGCTGCAGTATCGATTATTACTGATTGTAAATAAACTGTTTTTGCATATTGAACGCTTTGTTCCCGATATTAAAGCTGTCTTTTACAAAGAGTGTTCTACTAGTCCGTTTAGTACTATTTCACAATTCGGCTGCTGATCATTGCGCACCAAACGCGGTCGCAAGCTAGGATTATTCAGTAAATGTTTTAGCAACATTTCTCCTACTCATCGGAAACCAAAGATTCACCATCGCAGTCATCAAATACAATGCATAACCAGTTGCTGTAGTGAAAATCTTAACCTCTGGAGTCCAACGAATTACTCTGTAACGTCAGTAAACTGCACTATAGTTGAGGGTGGGTCGCACTGTATCCTAGTTGGCTTGTAAGATTTGACGGTATGCTACCGCCCTTTATAACCCATTGGTACCATTGGCTGGCAGGTGTCCACAAGATATTAATGCGACTACGTTCTCCTATTACATAACATTGAACATTCTCATTCCACATCTGTCGTCTGACAAACTACGTACGGCTTTTTCTGTCCATCCATAGCTCTCTATGGCCTGCCGGACAACCTTCTCATGGTGTCAGCTGGGCAGTTCAGGTTTTCGTGTTCCTACGAATGGTTCGGCGGCAGAGTTCCATGACGTAGTGGGTCTACACCTGGCAACCCTTCTCCCTATAAAAAGCCACATATGTCCGTTTAATAACACTGTGACATGGCGGATAAGACTCGCCACTAAATAGTCACTGTCCCTTTTTTCTCGGCAACATTGTATACGAGCAATCCGAGCATTGTATTCTGCATTTGCATTCGGGAGTGTTGGGTCCCATGATATGGCTTTTCGTAATCCAGAAGGCGTATGAACTGAATTTTTATTCACCGGCTTCCAACGGGTGCAAAGCCCTTATTTCGTCCTGTCGTCTTTTGGCTTAGGACTTTCAGCCACAGGCTCGGAGCAGTGGTCGCCTAAGACAAGGCATCTTTTTCGGCCTAGGCAACCGGGTAATATCTCGCCTACTGATGAACCAGGGATACACACAAATACGCTCTCCCTCGGCCTCATGTTCCAGTGTCCTACGACTAGGCAAACATTACAAACACATGCCAACAATTTACCTACTCTTTCCTCGTGTCGATTGTCCCCATTTTTACCTGATAAATCGAATGCGAACAACCCTACCTCCGCCCATCAAGTTGTTCTCTCGCCACCCAACAAGCCAACCACACTGTCCTCGACAGGGAGCTGCCAACCCCGACGTCTGCCACCTTCGCTACTGTGAACTGGAATGCATTTCAAACTAGCAACCTTTAACCTGCGCACATTACTGCAGATCGGACAACAAGATGGATTTTCAAGCGCTGGATACCCTTGAAGTTTATCTCTGTTGCCTGAGTGAAACCCGACTTTAGGGCTCCAACACAGTCCACCAGATGTCGTCACCAGTCCAACCGCACACCCACTTTCAGCTTCGCCTATCTGGTGACACTGAGTCCTCCGCATCTTGGCAACCTCGTGTTGGGATCGTGTTCAATAATAAATCCGGGGCCTCCTTGACTGGATACCAGTCAATAGTCGCCCATGCGCTATAAGGCTCCGTGGCTGATCCAATGTTAATAGACATCGCGCAGACAAGCGTGCTCTTTTCGTGATCTCCGTTTATGCGCCCAGTGACTGCAGCTCGGATGCAGTCAAGAACCAGATCTATCAGCATTTTCATGAGTTACTCCTAAGTGCGCCTAAAACAGACATCGTTGTTACAGTGGGTGACTTTAACGCACGTATTTGTTGGCTGCTGCCATGTGAACGCCACCTCGGTGGACTGCACGGGTATGATGACGTTCGCTATGACAACAGAAAGAGAATGCTCCACTTTTGTGCTGGCTACCAACTTTTCCTCTCCAGTACGAGCTTTCTTCACCCTGGACGCCAATATGCCACCTGGTGTCCTCCATCTTCAATCTAGCGCTGGCCACAAATTGATCACATAGCTATAAGTCGCGGGTGGCGCAGCAGCGTATGTGATTACCGATCATTCTAGTCAATTTCTGTTGACACCGATCATGTACTGGTCTGTGTGATAATTTGCGTGCGTTTCGGCGGTTCACCGTGGGTCAGGCAAACCCGACTCAAGAATCACAACTTGGAGGACCCAACGGTAAAATCGCAGCATCAGCAGAGGTTTTGCCAAAATCTCGCTCTACCACAGGCTCCGACTGTTGAACAACACTGGTCGAAGTTACGAAAAGCAATGTTCTCCGACGGCTTGTCCAGCTGCGTGCTCACCCGCTGCACATCCTGAAGCTGGATTCCGGTATAATCCTTGGAAATCCTTGATTGTTGCCGGGCTGTGCACGCCGGTGGTGCTCAAATCGAGCTGCTGAGACGAAAACCGCTGCATCTGCTAGAACCTTCCACAGTTTATCTCTCCTTCTCAAGACCAACGTTTGTCATTCACTAGCTGTCAGTCAGACGATTTTTGAGTCAGATGGCACGAAAGTCACCATCCTACACAGACGCATGCGTTGCTTGGCAGAGCATTTTGCTTTCCAATTTAACTGCTCAGCCCAACCCATTGTGACGCGTCCATTTCCCTTGACTGGTGCTTAGCCTATCGCAACAGATGCTCCTACAGAAAAAGAGATCCAAAGCGCAAGCCAATCTTTTAGGCGTCATAGAGCTTTCGGTCCTGATAGTTATCACCCGTCTCTAACCAAAGATCGCGGGAGTGCACTTGTCAACAAGATGCAATCACACTTCACGAGAATTTGGACTGAAGAGTAAGTCCCAATTGCATGTAGAGAGTCGGTCGTTGTCCCGATTCACCAGAAAGACTCATGTGAAGATTGCACTAAATACCGCGAAAGTTCGTGATCTCGGTTGCCTACAAGATTTTCGTGTCTGTTCTACTCCGCAGGCTCTCAACGACTAGCGAAGACATTTACCGATCGAGACAAGCGGGTTTCCGTCCAGGTCGAGGTTGCATTGACCACACCTTCTCACTACGCCAACGGATTGAACTCGTCACTTCCACCGACGGCCAACATCCGAGCGGCTTTTGACTCAGTAGATAGATCTGCGTTGTGGAACTGTCTACTAAGGAAAGATGTGTCCAACAAGTTTGTAACCATCTTGAAACATCTCTACGGTCACACGATAGGCAAAGTCAAGGCTTACGGCACGCTTTCCATTTCTTTTGCTGTTACCAGCGGTGTGCGCCAAGATTGCCCCATCTCACATTTGCTGTTCAACTTTGCCATTGAAGATGTCCAATGAGCCACGGAAGGCCTTCCACACTACGCTACTGAGCTTCTCCCAGGTGACAGAGTCGCGGACCTGGACTACGTCGATGACATGGCTTTCTCGGGGACGATCCACCAGCCGACCAGAGCGCTCTCAACCGCTTAGCGATGGATGCACCTAAGTACGGCCTGTGTTTCACACCAAGCAAATATAAAATTTTATTCCAGTATTGGCAGGTACCTGTGCCTGTCCTCACCAGTGCTGGTAAACTCTTGGAACAAGTCCACTGATTAACTTATGTAGAGAGTTTCATCACAACTGGCGGCTGTATTGGCGGTAAAGTCTCACAACCGGTCGTAAAGGCCCGCCTTGCGTTCATCTGACTGAGACACTTATAACGCCGTCGTGACATCAGTCTCAAACCCAAGAATGGGGCACATATTGCCCCTGTCCGTGCGGTCTTCTTGTACGATTTGAGACCTGGCCGACTCACTCAGAAGCCATAAAACGATTGTCAATTTTGGTCCATCATGGTCTGTGTAGGAGTGTTCGCGTGTCTTGGCCGCATCACGTGAGAAACGCAGAAGTCCGACAGCAAGTGTTTGGAGCAAACAGCCCATGTTGCCAAACGGTTATTTTCAGACACCGCATGCGTTGGCTCAGTCATGTATTGCGCATGCCAGCCTATCGTATTCCCAGTCGAACGTTATTTGCGCTCCCCGGAAGCGAATGTAAAACGTACCACGATGGACAACCAATGACGTGGAGAAGGAGCATGAAGAATGTAACCACAAGCTTAGCATCCGTCTGACCGGTCCGCCTTCCAGGATAGGAATCACGCGATTGATACTGCGCGGTTAGAAACCTTGTAGGTTATGGCGCGTACAAGGCATAAGTGGAGACAGTGTTGTTCAAACGTGTCTCATTGAACATAAAACTCCAAAACACACAAAACATTCTCAAAACTTCGTGTTTGAAACAGAAAATGCATTTATCTTTACATGTAGTAGTTGGTTTTCCTCTTTGTTTCGCCATGCTCCTGATGGCACATTATATGTAATCCGCTCGTGAATATATATATATATATATATATATATGTACTCGAGGGCTGCCCCTTACAATGCACATATTGTGTATGCAAATTCTCCTCGATGCATACGTAAGCTCCAGATAAATTTAACCTAGCTACGTGCCCAAGGAATCTTTGCAAAATCACGACAAACCCACTTACTACTAATTAGTGATCAGCAATTGCTTTAGCAGTTCTCATGCCCATTTGATTGCTGGCGGCATGTAAAGGATGTTGTAACTCTGGGGTCAGATCTGTCTTTTGCAATTTCTTGGCCTACATGACGGTGGACGAAGGGGCACGCCATAGTGGCGCCGTCACTCATAGCCCAGTTGCCTAAATATCTAGCTCCAAAGAGTGAGGTCATGGGTTGGAATCCAGTATGATTCAGTAGGTGTGCGCTACTGACACGTCCCAATAGGACGAAACGTCCGCCTGGTGCTTTCTTGAACAGGTGGTGGCTGAGTCTAGCTGCGATGCATCTTCTCACAAATGCAATAAATCCCCACACGGGTCACCAACGTGGTAAATTTTCCTTGGAAATCCAATTGCTAAATATAACAATTCATTCGAGCTGGTATTTAAGACACATCTGAACACGAACCCAAGCCTAGGTTTTCACACACCTTGATGCTTTTGGTAATATACTCCTACATCATCACTGAGTAGAAAGATTCCG